CAGAGGGTTAGCTTGTTAAGGGTTAGCCTGTCTGTGATAACCCCAGCAATTTTATTAATATATTTCTTCAGTGACCTGCTTGCAATTACATGAATAAGAGGCCCAGGAATGGGAGGAGTACTAAACACTAAGATCTAATCACAGAATTTTATTATCATTATTTATTATTACCATTACTTTATCACATTGCAGAAAACAGTTTCAGTATATCCCAAAGGTCCACCAATTTAGGACTTGATGCACAGACTCCTGGACTAATGGATTAAGGACGAAACTTAACCCAATTATGCTGTTTAAAAGTAAAACCTTGGAAACTGATTAGAGAACCTACAATCACAGCATGTTGTTTTATAAGTAGAGGCCACATAATGGGCAGAGGATGCTTGTCTTACTGCTCCCTGATTGGCCAGATGGTCCTCCATCTGCATACGTTCTGCCACCTACCCCTTGTCATCAGACACTACACCAACAAGGCCTGCCGATCTTTGAAGTATGAACCTTGAAACCGAGAATTAAAGTAAACCTTTCTTCCTAAGCAGCACCTCCATATTCTAGTTATAGTAATGAAAAGCAAACTATCCCCAAACACACAAACACCTTACTATCAAATTACTGAAGACCTATTTACTGAATTTCTTTTATCCAGCACATGTCATTCTTTTAAAAAAAAAAAAAAATTAGAAGCCATGCTACAGGGCAAAGAAAACAATGAACATCAAAACTAGAGTTAGACATGCCAGAAATGTTGGAATTATCAGACCAGGAATTTCAGCAACTATTACTAACATGTCAAGGGCTTTAGCATAAAAAGTAAAAAAACATAAGAGAATATATGGACAATACAAGCACAGCACGGGAAATTTTAAGAAAGAATCAGAAATGTTAGAAATCAAAAAACTAGCTAATAGCAAATGTATGTGATGGCTCATTGGTAGACTGGAATACCACTAAACAAACTTTGAGGTTGAAAATACCACAATAGGGCCCGGCACAATAGTGTAGAGTCCTTGCCTTGAATGCGCTGGGATCCCATATGGGTGCCAATTCTAATCCCAGGGACCCTGCTTCCCATCTAGCTCCCTGCCTGTGGCCTAGAAAAGCAGCAGAGGATGGTCCAAAGCTTTGGGACCCTGCACCTGCATGGTAGACCCAGAAGAAGCTCCTGCATCCTGGCTTCAGATTGGCTTAGCTCCAGCCATTGCGGCCGCTTGGGGAGTGGACCATCGGACAGAAGATATTCCTTTCTGTCTCTCCTCCTCTCTGGATATCTGCCTTTCCAATAAAAATAAATAAACCTTTAAAAAAAAAAAGAAAACATGATAATAAAAACTTGAAAAGCAAAAAAGCAGAGAGAAGATAGCAAGTAAGGAAGTGAGGTAGAAGAACAGAACAAATACCAAAGAGCTATGATATAACTACATAAAGAAGGAAAAATAGAAAGGGACAGAAATAATAACCGAAGCAAAAATTAATGACCATTTCGCAAAATTAACATCAGATACAAAAATCTCAGGGAGGATTCAACAGAATAAATGCACTCCTATCACCCAAAGAAAACAAAGATTATATATAATTTTCAAACATTTTCAAATATAAGTCCAAAGATAAATAATCTGAAAGAACCAGGGAAGTAAAGGGGGGAAAAACAACCCTCACTCAGAGAACAAGGATAAAAATTACATTTAAGTTTTTCCTTAGAAATCAGCAAAGACTGATGCTGCGCTTGATTCATAACTGCCAAAATTTGAAAGCGACAAAGACATATAAGACAAATGAATAAACTGTGATATATCCAGGCAATCGAATATTATTCACTAAGAAGTAATGACAATAAAGCCTTGAAAAGACATGGAAAGAACTGTATACATTACCTAGATAAGTCAATCTGCAAAAACTATATACTGTAACTATGTAACATCCCGAAAAAAATAAAATATGAGACAACGAAAACGCAGTGGCGTTAAGGGATTTGGGATAAGAAGGAATAGACAGAATATACAAGATTTGAAGACAGTGAAATATACCATGATACTACAATGGTAGACACATGTCACATAAATTCTGGCCTTTAGGTGCAAACGATGTGTCACTGCAGATTCAACAACATGTAACAAAAATATATTCTGGTGATGGATGGTGATGGTGGAAGAGGTTGTATTTATGGCAGAGGATGGGGAGAAGGAGTAGAGAATAAAAACCTCTATACCTTTCACTGAATTCTGATATGACCCCAAAACTAGTCTAAGAAATAAAGTTTATTAATTTTAAGAGTATATATGTAGGTAAAAAGGTATTCACTTAGAAATTACTCTCAATTCCTGCCCTTGTATGCCTCATTGCCCCTTGACCCTAGTCTCCTTATACAACCATTATTATTAAGTCCTACATGTCCTTGATATTTTCCTCATATATTTATATTTCTGTATTTCTTAAAGAACATCTACAAAAATAAACTAAAAAAGCTTATAGGAAACATTGCCACACTGCCCCAAAAGGAGGGAAAGAAATCAGAAATGATAATCAAGGTACAGTGATAATTTGATGTGGTGGCAACAACACTGCCACAATCATAACACCCAGTTTGAGTTTCAGCTCTGTTTCCAATCATGCTTCCTGATAATTCACTCTATGGGAGACAACAAGTATTTGCTGGTGCACATAGGTCCCGATCATGCAAAGGGGAAAACTGGAATGAGCTCCCAGTCTCTGGTTTCAACCTGACTCAGCACTGGCTGTTGCGGGCATCTGAGGAAGAAACCAGTATAAGACAGTGGTGTGTGGGTGTGGTGGATGGGTATGTTATTTGTGACTCTCCATTATTCCCATATCTGAAGACAAAACCAACAGATGGTAGTGGGGTGGGGGTGTAGGTGTAGGGGTGTGTGTGTGTCTATTTGCAACTGTCCATTATTCACTTATCTCCTAGTGCATCTGATGCATCCCTTAAACAGAAATGTTCACATGAAAACTTTTTTGTTCTTAGTAGACCAATAATATACTTACATAATTCCTGAAATAAAAAAAGGACACACAAAAAGATTTCCTTCCTTAACCCATTAAGTTCCAAATTTTCAATGTATGAATACTTTTATAATTTTATTTCGAAGCTACCAAATGAGGCAGCTATTACTCATTAAATTTTTATAGATGCTTGGACGATGGGACACAATGAATTAAATAGTCTCTTCTATTCTTTTCATGTATTCTGTAATTCCTTATATTTAAAGTTCGTGAATTTTAAAACATTTTGAAATGTTATTAACTACATCCTCTACAAAACTAACTTACATAATAAACTGCTTGAAATACCGCACTGCCATTTTCTAAAGAAGTTTTTACCATAAATGTTTAATGAAAGCCTCTAAAAACTGAAAAAAGAAAAAAAATTCTACATTGCCAAATACTTTTGTCAGCTTATTAGCTACCAGGTTATAGCATAAAGTCGACAGCACAAGTCTCAAGAAATCATATTCTAGTACCAAAATCTATCACCTATTGAAGTCAACTTGAACAGTCTTCTAAGTATTCTTGAAAACTGCCATTTAATTGCCTATGTGATTTTCCCCTTCCTTCCTTCCTGTCTTGAAAATGTCTGCCTATCTGCCACATAAACCTTCTTATCCTCTGAAGTGTTCTTTCCTGAAAAATGATACTCAAAAGAACATAAATTCGGAGTGAGTCTCAGAGGCTGTTTCTGCATCTACAGAATGAAGCAACTTCTATTTTAGATCATATCTAAATCATAGAATTATTGTTAAGATTTAGAAATAGGCGAACTCCATTTCTCTGAGCTCATGGTAGTTGGCTTGTATATCCCATTTAGGAATTCACAGGCTCAATTTACTCCATCTCTAACACTTGCACTAACAATTAACTTGTGCTATTTTCCTGATTTCCTTTATTTTCAGTGCCATCCACTCCTACAAAACCAAAAAAAAAAAAAAAAAAAAAAACCCAGCAACTAAATAAACTGCTACCTACAGATCTAGTCACCCTCACAAGTAAAATTAAAATGACATTTTATATAAAATAAAAAAACAGAGCTAGAGAAAATACACAATGCCCTTGAAAAAGAGATTCTGTTTATCTCAAAGTCTGAGTTAAAAAGGGAGAGAGGGAGAGAGATAGAGGAATGTCTTCTGTTGCCTCACTCTCCAGATGTCTTGAAGCCAAACACCAGAAGCTTCTTCTGGGTCTCACACAAGAGTGACAGGGGCCCAGGTACTTGGGGCAGCATCTGCTTTTTTCAGCACCTTAGCAGGAAGCTAGATCAGAAGTGGACCAGGTGGGACTTGAACTGGTGCTCATTTGAGATGCTGGTGTCACAGACAGTGGCTCAACCAGCTCCACCACAATGCTGGTCCCAATACAAGGCCTTTTTTCTTGCAGAAAAACGTATTGTTATGAATATTTTCACTGGAAAGGAAGGGAAGAAAAGGAGGGGAATGGAGGAGGGACAAGACAGCAGCATTCTATATGGGTACTGGTTCAAGTCCTGACTACTCCATTTCTGACTCAACTCTTTGCTACTGCTCCTGGGAAAGCAGAGGATAGCCCAAGTGCTTGTGCCCCTGCCACCCATGCGTGAGACCTGAAACAAGCTCCTGAGTTCAGCCTGGCCCAATCCTAGGTGTTATATTCATTTGGGGAGTAAACAAGTAAAGAGAAGATTTTTGTGTCTCTCCTTCTCTCTCAGTAACTCTGCCTTTCAAATAAATAAAATAAATCATATTTTAAAAAGTGTGTTGTAGAAATACTGATTGTAAGTGGAAACATTCAGATCACGTTACATATACATGTATTTTTAAGCAGGTGTACTCATTCATTAATCCTTACAAATAATGAAATTAACAACAAAAGTATAAACAATCAGAATTCTTTTAAAATAAACTATCATGGCCGATGAAAAATTCAAGCTTAAAATTAATGATATGGTAAAACAAACCTGTTTCAAATGTTATATGATAATGATGTCTGAGCCAGATGTAAGGAGCACTCACCTGTGCACATAATGTAGTTGATGAACTGAATCTATTGCTATTACCATCTCAGCCAAGTAAAATCGAGCCATATCTTCAGGCAATCTATCTTCAAATTTGCTGAGCAAAGTTAACAAATCCCCACCAACATAGTAATCCATTACCAGGTACTGTGAATGAAAAAATGAAATGTACTCAATAAATAATAAGGGTAAAACTTCAAGACCAGAAAAGACCAAGTCAAATACTTATCATATACAAAAAGCTATGTAAGGGCGATTGACTTAAATGTTGAGTTAACCTGCATTCTCTATTGGATTGCTGGGGTTCAAGCCCTGACTGCTTCTAATTCCAGCCTTCAGTTAACACCCACAAGTGAGGCACTGATGGCTCAAGCATGTGGCTGTGGCACCCCAAGAGAGAATCAAATGCGTTCCAGGTTCCTCAGTTCAGCCTGAGGAACTACAGCTGTGGCAGGCACTTAGAGGAGAAAATCCATCCTCTGTCTCTTTGCCTTTCAAATAAAAACTGTTGTAAGATAATCAATCACACTAAGACCACTAAATTTCATACAGCAGTTTAAATTTTTAAAAACAAACTTTTAAAATTGGGGCACAGAACACAAGATTAATATTCTTCTATTGTAATTCACAAAGTAACAGTATCATCCACAAAGCTTTGCCAGCAATTCAAAGGTAGAACACCTGAATTCTACAAATAATTACTAAGAAAAACTCAGAACAGAGTATACTCCTTAAGCTGAAAAAATACATCTTAATTATCACTACATTTTCCTTATTTTACCTTGGATTAATAAGGATTTTGAAATAACAAATATCAATTTATGGATTACCATTTGGAAGCCAATATTATACAGAATGTAGTAATGTATATCATAAATGTTTCTTCTCCAACTTCTGACACTACAAATTTAAGTACTGATTCATCTCAAGTAAATGTAAAGACAAAGTTGTTAGATTACAGATGATGTTACAGCTTTATGTCATGCTCTAGATTGCTTTATAAACATGTTACATATACACATGTACAAGCATACATTACATTATGTGTATAAGAAGAAAAGCAGGTGTAGTAGGGTATCATTTGTATAGTCAGAGAAAACTTGTATTCAAATCATGACTTCATGTTCTGTATAGTTTTAAAAATCAATGCCTTTGATATCTCATTCTTAATGTACCTAACTACAACACATTCTTCACAGTATTAGCATTCAGCATGAAAGCTAGTACACAGAAGATATTTACACATCAGCTTCAATATTTGAAGGTAATTTTATTAGAGAATGGAGATACAACTTCAAGAACTGTCACTGAGTTGATGATTTAGACAGTTAAGAAAATTAAAATTTTTTCTATTAGTATTATATTAAAATCATAAGCATCTGAATACACATCACATATTTTTAAAGACTTCAAAATTAGGGAAATTCAAAAACTGAGTGTATTTCAAATCCGGATATAGGCTTACTTGCTCTAGTTAATAATCCTAATATTAACAGATTCTATCCTGATGATGAGAAAAAAATAATACAACAAACTTGTGTTAACATTAACATATTGCTAGAAACAGCAATAGACATAAAGAAAAAATCCACTTCAAAAAATATTCTGAGCACAGTAAGAAGAAAATTTTTAAAAAGGAAGTCTGGTGTTTAAACTGCAATTTAATATTTATGCATGTGAAATCATAAATTAAAACTCATTCCTTCGATATACACTGAGTGTCAACCAAGATTTTTCTTTTCTAACCAACATAGTGAATAAAACTCAGAGGGTAAAGAGATGAAAGGCTCTTGTATTAAAGGCTTTTTTTTCTCTTGAAACTGTACTTGATTCTTATCATACCAGAGTACCAAGATCTGAGAACAGTGGTAAACCCCTAAAAATATTTTTAACATTTTTACAACTCATGGTCACCATTCAAAATTTGAGCTGCTTAAATCATAATCTATCTTTTCTCTTCACCCACACTTCTGTGTGCTTTCATTCAATACACCAAAAAATTTAACAGATAACTTCCCCTCCAACCTTTCAATATGCCTTGCTGAAACTCTTGCATGGCAAAATAATAATAATAATCCTGAGACAACCAAAAATGAAAGCCAACCTTACTTGCAATTGGATTATAGTGTTACAGATCAAAAGTAAAGTCAAATACTAGCATCACATGAGAACAAAACTCTTGTCACATTGTCAATTATACGTAAATGTGTGTATACATGTGCACACAGTAAATTCAACACAAATACCCATCCATTCAATTTAACAACTGAGCATCTAACACACTAAGTTCTATCCTATGTTTTTTAAACAAATCTGAAAAAAATTCACATTATATAAAAGAAACAAGCGTCCAGAAGCAACACTAATGGTCATGAATTCTGTAATTTTCTATTTAAATTTTTTTAAACATTGTCTTCATTCCATTGAATCTATTTTATTACTCTCCAGTGGGTTACAACCTACAATTTGACAAGCATTATTGAACTCTACACAAAAGCAATATAAAGGTAAATAATATGATGACATTGCTGAAATACCTGGATATGGCCTGAAATGTGATAACCTCTCCAATAACTATTATGGGGTGACATAAATCTTTAAGACAGTAAGGTTCATGTCACTTACTTAAGTTTTTTAAACTGTCAAAAAAATTTAAGATACAAACATGAATGTTAGTCACATAATGGCAATACCTAATACATGTAAAGGTAAAACAATGAGAAAGATGAATTAAAACTGGAAATTCTGAGTTACTATTTTAAGATACAGAATTTGAGCACAATTTAAAAAAATTAACAAGACTTCAAGAGCAGCAAGGAAGGAGAAATGACTGGTATCAATGGTAAAATGAACAGTAAAAATACAGACAAATGAAGGGCAGGAATTTAGCATAGTGACTTGGGATATTTACATCCACTTCCCAGGGCCTGTGTTCAATTCTCGGCTCCAGTTTCCACTTAGGTGGGAGACTTGCACTGAGTTCACAGTTCCTAGCTTTGGCCCTCGCCCAGCTGTAACTGGTTCAGGCATTTGGAGATGAAATGGCAGACTCGACATCTCCCACTCATTCTCTACATGTTTCTATGCCTTTCAAATGAACTTTGTAAGTAAAATTTTATTTAAAAATTTATTGATTTCAAAAAATGACAGGGAAGTGGGGAGAAAGAGCAGGGATGAGAGAGAGATATCTTCCATCCTCTTGTTCAGTCCTCAAATAACAGCCAGGACTAGGCCAGGCTGAAGCCAGGAGCTTTTTCTAGATCTCCCAAATGGGCAGCATGGGCCCAAACACTTAGCCCATCTTCTGCTGCTTTTCCCAGGCTAACAGCAGGGCACTGAAATGAAGTAGAACAGCCTGGATACAAACCAGTACCCATATGAGATGCCAGCAACAAATGTGGCAGCTTTACCAAGTACGACACAATACCAGATCCAACAGGATTTTCTTTTTTTTTAATAAAAGCAAAACACAATCAAACACAAAGTATGTTGAATGCGAGCTATTCTACTTCCACTGAGGCTAAAAAAGATCTGAGGTTATACACAATATTTCTGATATTTATTTTAAAAATACCGTATCTTACTCTACAGACCACTTCACTGCACCAATCCTCCTTCCTTCAGTTTCCATGGTGCCTCTGGCCAATTCCATTCATGTCTTCTTGGATATCTCTACTTTTGTATTCTCTAGGCACAACACTTTCATATTTAACATGTACTACTCAGTTATTCCCGCATTTCATCTTATTCATTGTTATCTATAACTTTTTTTGAAAAGGGTTGTATGGTTTAGGCTTCAAAGGACAGAAGCAAAATCACAGACATTAGAAGTTTTCCTCATAACAAGGGTTCTTCACAAGATTCACAAGAAAACGGACATTATGAAAAAATTGCACATATTTCAATTATTTTTACACAAAAATAAACGTCTTTTAATACTAATCTTCCACTAATTCTTGAAGTGCCTTCATAGATAGAAAGAAAACAAATTTCCACACATTTCCCTGATTTTACAATTAGCCACTGATATTTTACTCAATATGCTCAATTATTCAACTTACTGTTCTCACCAAAAGCCTAATGATCTTTATTTTCTCTGTATGCATTTATTTGACTACTATGATAAAACATGATATAAAGAGTGTCAACTGGTCTTCCAAGCTTGACTAACAAATGAGCTACTCAGAACCTTACTACAATAGCAGACTTGTTTTCATTGTTAATATTTTTGTGAATAAATTCAGCTGTGATATGATAATTTGTTTAAATTGTTCTAGCCTTCCTGCTCAATGCTTTCCTAAGAATTGAAAATGTGAGGGGAGTGACTAATCAAGAAAAATAGATATATCTATACTAGTTTTTAATTTCTCTGATTCCCCACAAGAGGATGTGAGATTAAGAAGAGCTCCTTTGTCCCACTCACCACTGAATCTCCACATTTGGAGAACAATGCTTAATATATAGCATGTTCCCAATATACAAATGTCCTATTCATTTTCATATATTTTAAGTACAAGCCTAGCACAGAGCAGAATCTCAAAATACATTTGCTAAAATAAATAAGAGTAGAGTCAGAAAATGAATAGCCTTTAATAGTAGGATAAGGAATTGTATAGCAAAATGCGATGGGCATAATCTTTTCCTACTATTTATTTCTTCATTCTTATTTGTTTCTTACTATTTGCCAGTGGCAATAATATTTTGCTTTTTTCTAAAGCTCTTTTCAAGATTTTTGTAAAGTGGTTTATCAGGTCAATATAAAGTCAGACATAAACCATAGGTTTAAAATAAGAACTCTACTTCACCTAGCACATGAGAATTTGAAAAATATTTGAAACTCGACCAAGCAACAGAATATTGTGAATGAAATATATTGATGAAATCATGAAAATAAAAAGTCCTGGACACATTCCACACAATTTATCTGAGAGATATTGAATCTCTGAATTTCATTTTGATTTTTTATAAAAAAGACACACACACACACACACACAAATCCAATGGAAATGTACCAAATCACTGAAGAAAAAGCATCATAAGAGTTTATCCTCTGAAATACAGTGATTTCTTTATATAAATTTTACAATTAAACAATGCTCATGAGATAATAATACTAAATTCTGGAAATAAATTGGTAAGCATACAAAAATATTAAAATGGTTCTTACTAAATTATTGTCATCTTGGAAAGCATAGTGCAAGGTTGTAATCCATTTATTATCTCCATTCACTAATACATCCCTTTCTTCACGAAAACATGCTGTCTGAAAAGAAAAGAAGAAATGTTTTAGAAAAATCAAAGGTTAATATAGAGAAAAACTATGCAAACAACTACTTAAAACCATTACATTATTTCTATTCTGGAAAAGGAACATACATAGTATTACATGACTTTTTAATCGTTCAAATTTCCAAACAACCTTAGAAACTAGACAGACACATTTTAGCACATTTTAAAAAAATTCCTTGTATTAAAAATAGTTATGGTCAAAACAATCAGAAAAGTATAAAAAATAATTTTACTAACAATCACAGACTATATCTTGCAGATAATATGAATGACCAAGAAAGAACACTGAGGGGCTACGGGGTGGCGTAGGCAAAGCAAGCTAATGCTCCACTCCGTAGCGCAAGCATCCCATTTGGTGCCAATTCGTGTCCTCACTGCTCCACTTCCAATTTAGCTCTCTGTGGCCTCTGAGAGCAGCAAAGGATGCCCCAAATCCTTGGAACCCTACATCCACATAGGAGACCCAAAAGAAGGTCCCGACTCCCAGCTTTGGATTAGCTCAGCTCTGGCCATTATGGCCATTTGGAGAGTGAATCAGTGAATGGAAAAACTCTTCTCTGATTCTTCCTTTCTGTAAAAATCTGCCTTTCAAATTAAACAAGTAAATCTATGAAAAAAAAAAAAAAGGTTTCAAGACAGAAGGATAGAACAAAATCTTCATCTGCTAGCTCACTCCCCAAACGGCTACAACAGCCAGAGGTAGGCCAGACCAAAGCCAGAAGTCATTTTCTCAGGCACATTCAGCAGGAAAATGAATCAGAAGCGGAGCACCCGGGACTCAAACTGGTGTCCACAGGGGACACCAGTATTGTAGTAAGCAGCTTACCCCATTGCTCCAAATTGCCAGTCCCAGTTCTGTTATTCTTTTTAAATGTTTATTTTCCATCTACTTGAAGGGCCAGGTGACAGAGACAAGACAGACAAGAAGAAACCTTGGATCCACTTGTTTACTCTCCAAATGTCCACAGTTAAACAGAACTGTACCAGGCTAAATTCAGGAGCCTAGAACCCTATCCAAATCTCCTACATGTACAGTAGGGAATCAAGCACTAAAGATATCATTTGAAGCTTCCCATAACACAACATCAGGCAACTGAACAGAGTAACCAAGACTTGAACCAGTACTCAGACATGGGACATGGGCATATCAAGATGCGGCTTGGCATACTGGCCCACAACACCTTTTATTGTTAAAGAACTAAGGTACAAGTACTCATGGCAGCCTTCTCATTCTATCCGTCTTACTCTATCTCCATCATATAATCAAAACGCTGAAAATAATCACCCTTTCACATACTTTGACCACTCAGAACGGTATGAAATTTCATCTTTTTGCTCTTTTAAAGGACATATTCACAATTACAAGTGCCAATGAGTTATTTTTTATACATTTATTGGACACAAAGACTGTTCGAATGTCTGTCAATTTTCTCTAATGGAGTTTTTGACTGATTTTTGTAAAAGCTGTAATTTATTATGCAAATAAAATGCCACTATATTAAAATATCATAGCCAGGGGCAATATCATAGCCAGCTTGTACTGCTGCCACCCCATACGGGAAGCAGTCTAAGACTCAGCTGCTCCCATTCTGATCTAGCATCCTGTTGATGGCCTGGTAGAGCAGTAGAGGATGGCCCACGTGACTGGACCCAATGAGAGACTCGGATCAAGTTCCCAGCTCTGTACTGCTCCAGCTCCGGCCTTTTGTGGTCATTTGAGGAGCAGGCCACTGAGTGGAATATCTGTTTCTCTTCTCTCCATAGCTTTCCTAATAAAAATAAATAATTTTTTAAAAATGCATCTTGGAAAATCTTCTTAATGTACAACTAAAAATTTTTAAATATATACACATTATATAATAATATATTTTCTCAGATTTTTTTCATTGAAAAAATACCTAATACTATTTCAGAAACTTCAAAAAAACTGAAGGGAAAAAGTTCTATTCACTTTAATATTCCAATTTTTAGTGCACTGCCTAAAGCACAGCAGATTCTCAACACTTACAAGCTAAAAATTAAGCATAAGGGACCAGTGTGGTAATGTAATTGGAACCCCATATGGGATTTGAGCTTGAGTCCCTGCTGCTCCACTTCTGACACAACTCATTATTTATGGCCTGGGAAAGCAGATGAGGATGGCCCACGTCCCTTGTCCACTGCACCCATGTGGGAGGCCCAGAAGAGATTCTAAGCCCCTGATCCTAGCTTTGAATCAATGCAGCTCTGGCCCTTGCAGTAGCTTGGGGAGTGAGTCATCGGACGGAAGATCTTCCTCTCTTTCTCTCTGTATATCTGATTTTCCAATAAAAATAAATCTTTAAAAAAAAAGTAAGCCTAGAAAAAAATGGAGTCAGAAGGAACAGCCTTTAACACAAAAGAAAGCAAAAGTATGAGGGCCAGCACTGTGGCTTAGCACATTAAGTGGCTACCTATAATGCAAGCATCCCATGTGAGTACCCATTTGAATCCTGACTACTCCATTTCCAATCCACCTCTCCGCTAACATGCCTGGGAAAAACAGCAGAAGATGCCCAAGTACGTGAGCACCTAAACCCAGACAGGAGACCCAGATGGAGTTACCAGCTCTGGACTCTGGCTTGGCTCAGGCCCTAGTGGTTGCAGACATCTTGGAAGTTACCAGTCAAAATATCTCTGTTCACCTCTCTCAATCAATCAATCGATTAATCTCTGTATGTGTATGTGTAACAGAAACAGACCAACTTTCAAATAAATAATCTTTTTAAAAAAGTATCTCAGTTGTGGCCCAAATTTCACTGACATTATTTTATTCAGATTTATCACCTGAGATAACATTTCTGCTTACATATACATGTGTGTGGCAGTCCATCCTTTCTAATCTTTCTTCTTTACACAAATAAGATCATAATGCTGAGTTGATTTTTTTCCAAAGTAACAATATATGTGAATATATTTCAGTACATGGAAACCTACCTAAATTTTCGTTACCATGCTTACTGAAAATATGCATCATTGTACAGTATACCACATGAAGCATTACTAGGTATTTTCCACAACAGAAAATAATAGGTATGATACACAAAGCAACTATTTTGAAATGCAATTAGCCCTAACATTTTCCAGATGTGTGTATATGTGTGTCTATGTATTATATCCATTATTTTACTTAGCCAAATAAAATTTCCAAAGCCAGGCATTAAGACACAACAACAACAAAAGTTTAAACTCAATGAATGCATAGTTTTATCTGTCCATTAGATGATCAAAACACATACCTTTTTAAAAGAATTATTTTGAAAGAGTTACAATGAAATAGCAGGAGAGATGGAGACAGAGAAATGGAGAGAGATCTTTCATTAACTGGTTCCCTCTGCCAACACTCACAACAGCCAGTGTCTGAAGCTCCATTCTGGCATCCTAAATGGATGGCAGGGGCCCAAGCACTTGGGTCATCTTCTATGAACTTCCCAGGAGCATTAGCACTGAGTTAAAAGTGAAAATTCTGAGTTTAACTGGCCCTTTATATATATACTGGTACTTTAGGCAGTGGCTTTATGTGCTACATTACAATGCCAGCCCAACAAACAACATATATGTCTTACAGCACAGCTTAGTTAAGGGGCTGCTTGGGATGTCCATATCAAATATTTGAGTGTTTGAGACTGAATCCTTGTTCTGCTTCCAACCCAACTTGCGTCTAACACACTTACTGGGAGGCAGTAAGTGATAGTTACAAAAATTGGGTTCCTGCCTGCATTTGGGAGTCAGACTGTTTCCAGGCTCCTGGTTTAAATGCAGTACCACCCTGGTGGTTGCAGGCACTTAGGAAATGAACTAGTGGGTATAAGATATTTCCTTATCTTTCTCCCCCTAGCCATCTCCCTCTGTACCTTTCAAATAAATTAAAACATAGAAACAAACAATACACACGTAACATTTGGGGAAGCAGGTGTTTGGATCACCAGTTAAGCACTTGGGAGCCCACATTCCATACCGGAGGGGCTAGATTTGAATCCTGGCTTCATTCCCAACTCCAGCTTCTTGCTGATGTGTACCATAAATGTCACAAGTGATGCCTCAGGTAGTTGGGTCCCTGCCACCCTCATGGGAAACCCAGGGTTCCTGGCTTTGTGCCAGCCATAACTGCTGCAGGCATCTGGGACCTAGCAGACAGAAGTCTCTCAACTAAATAAAATCAGTAAATAAAAAAATTTTAATATGCAACATTATGCTTTGTTTCACTTTGGAGGAAAAAATAATCATTCAATATAGTTACTATTAAGCCCTGTTCATAATTTAACCGGTCTGAGGTTACAGTTTACTATTAACATTCAGAGGGTCTGTAGAAGCTATCAAAGCCTGGAAGACTCCTTTCTTCTAGAATTATCTTACTATAATCTTTAGAAATTTTATAGAATTCCAAATAGAATCTACTATCTATTATTTCATTTGGTTGCTATATTTAAATTAAATAAAATTCCAAGACTAGTTTGAGTCATAATCTAAATTAAACTATAAAAAAATAGGAACTTCTTGATATAAAGTTCAAAAATACAGAAAAATGGAGAAACCACTGTAACAACTTTCTCCCCTTGACACCCATCACTCAATTTCCCAACAGTTATGTTGTTGATAACTATTGCTGTCTTTAGACCATCACTCATTACCACCACTTATAAGCATCAGGTATATACGTGAGTGCACACAACTAACATTTCAAAGGCGATCTCTGACATACAATTTTACCCATATACTTAGCAATTAAGAGACCCCTATTAATGCCTAAGAAACAGGGGAAGACACAGTTTACTCTTTGCTTCAAAACATCATATCTTTCTCAGTTGGTTGTCATAACTGGGGATGGCTGGGGTGTAGTCTAGCAGGATTTAACAGGAAAAAGCAAGGAGTGCTAAACAATCTATCATGCACAGGACAGTACCTAAAAAACAACTAATCAATCCAAAATGTCAAATAGTGTCCCTGTGGGAAAAA